AACAGAGAAAACTCTCTGATGAGGATGAAACAGATAAGCAAGAAAATGTAGTGATGGAAAAACCAATAAAGGGATGGGAGGAAAGAGAGGCAAATTCTCCATCTGGCTCTTTATTTATTCAAAAGAATGAAAAACAAAATAAAACTCTATCAATTAAATGCCCTACTCTGAAGGAGGCAGAGCTTGATGATATTGCATATGATGAGAGACTACAAGGACACAACAAGAAACTCCAATCTGACCTCAAACCAACCACAACAGTTAACCCTGAATCTGTGAGTCTTGTTAAAAAAGCACCATCCGTTAAGCAGGGTACTTCCACACCTAAACACGATGCCCTCCCAGTGTGGCTTCAAGAGGAGGAGGAGGAAGAAATAGAGTATGAAAGGGGACAGGAAGATCTTGGCTCCATATGGATGGCTGAACTGTATATGGAGGGTGAAACAGGGTGAGTGGGGAATGATGGAGGATGAAATACCAACTGGAATGGGAGTGTGACATGGCTATATCAGAAAGATCTCATTTTGCCTGCTGTTATTTAGAGAGATCTCTGTTTAAGCATTTGTGGATGCCTTCTCATAACAACACAGTTCACCTTTCCAAAAATGTTAACAAACTTATATCTTTTGCATTTTGACAGTTTGGTTTTTCTGTGGAAGTCTTTCTCATGACAGAAATGCATCTGCATGTTTCCTACAACTGGCAATGATACATCATTTTAAAGTAAAAAAAAAAAAAAAACTCTAAAATGTTTATCTTGATAAGAAGCAACACTTAAGTTATTATAGTTTCATACAGCAATGCACTTGCGATCTGTCCAGGGTGTACTCTGCCTCTCACCCGTAGATAGCTGCACCAGCAACCTTTGCGACCCCGCTTGGGGTAATTTCATACACATCTGTAATATATTATGAAACAAAAATCATGGTTCTCTTTTACACAGGACATTAGCAAAATTGTACAGGGATTAGATCAGTAAACAATCAAAGCAAATTTGCTTTAGAAATCATCTTAACTCCATGGTTCGCAATTACTGCATTAAATTACATGGGAAGTAGAATTAGCATAAAAAATGCAGTGTTGTAGTGGTTTTACTGCAGACCAGCCATCATTTGATTAATTCATTTAATCAAAATTATCCTCATTTCCATAGAATTATTGTTCAGAAAGTTAGTAACTCTTCCTGAAGTAAGAGGAACCAACTCTTAATAGCATATAGCTTTGGAAAAATGCTTTTCACTACAGTCAGCTTTAAAAGTTGCAACAATTTCTTAGCCTCCTCTTGTTTCTGCTTATCTTGTGCAAAGCAAAACTGGCTTAGCAGAATACAATTAAAAAAACAAGTTTTAATGCAAGTTTCAGCTTAATTTGAAAAAAAAAAAAAGTCATGTATTGATGTTCCTTTTGGGCTGTACTTCTCAAAAACTCTCCTATGTAACTTACGAGAGTCAGATCCGTCACTAAGTGAATCATTTTACCCAGACAGCCACTTTACTGTAGTCTGAGATGCCATTAAACAGGAGAGCCAACTAAGCCAAAAGCTGTTGTTAGCCAACAAAACAGAAATGAGACATCTACATTAACAGATGTGTGTTTTTTTGTTGTTGTTTTTTATGTCGGATTTAATCTAGAAGTGTGAATGTGGGATTTCTACACAAGTAACTTCATGACTTCTTAATCTGCTGGTCGAAAGTGGTCTTCTTTTAAATTCTAAAAGTGGAGAGAGACCTTTTTTTTCACAGTCCAGTGCTGCTAATATGGCATTTACCAGACTGATACATGTATTTCAAGTTGAATTCTACACCATATCGATTGGAAAAGGCTCCTGTGGAAAGTTTTCGCAAAAGGGAGGGACATCAGTACAACTCCTTGAGCTGATTGGGTAAATCCCCAACTGGCACCTGCCTCCCATGAGCTTTTAGCCAATCACAGCAGCAGTAGCAGCTATGACGTATCATATGTGTGCATATGCTGTTTATATGTACTTACCATTTGTATGTGGCATGTACTTCATCCTTGACAATTTCAACAATGTTTTCCTGGTGCCTCAGATGAAAGCATGACGTTCAATTTAGATTTGAGCAGCCATGACCCCGGGCTGCCAAATACCAGCTAATATTTGCCGCAGAGGACTTTTTTGTTGTATTTGCCTAGTTTCACATCAGCAATGACCAACTTTTTTAACTTCAGCCCCTTGGTTGTTGGCGAAATTCAGTTGGGATGTATCTCATCTTTTTATTCCACAAGGGCACAACTCGCCTCCTTTGGCTTGTTTTTCAGAAAAAAAATAGAGGGTTTCTTTTAAAAATAAATATTTTTGGGAGTTTTATGAAATCACAGATCTTGCGATAATTCATCTTTTTGCAAGGTAACATTGTCGCCAGTTTTCAGGAAGATTGAAGCTGGAATTTACAAGTCTAGCGCCCCTAGTGGCTAAAACAAAAATACAGTTTTCCCTAAAAGTTGCGTACAGCTGAACCCATTTTCACTGAATAAACAACCCTTGTTTCATTGTTGTTAAAGATGGTTGATATAAATAAGGCAGAGTTATTATTTTTTTATAAGTTATTTTAGCCCTGAAGTATGACCGTTAGTATGGCTGAATAGATGATCTTGGCTTTTCTTGTCACATAAATCCTCAGTTCAGAAAAACTGGAGGTATTATGAGGACAGTTTTGGTCATCTAATGTTTTTGGAGCAAATAGAAGATTCCTAAACTAAGGTTTTATGGTAGTAAAGCACATTTTGCATGGGACCATTGAAGCAATAATATTGTTTTGCTGCTTGGAAGTGCCAGAGCATGCCATAAATGCATGTTACTGTACATTAGTCGTACGTCTTCCAGTTCTGAATTCTTCCCCTTTTGTCTTTAGCCTAGGCCGTCCACATCCTGCCGAGGCCCAGAAGCCTTCATCATCCCCCTCCACCGAACAATTTCCTTATCAGACCTTTAATACGAAGCAGCAAAATAAACCCCAACCTGCTGAGACAAATACACAGCCTTCCGACCCTCTTTTAATCCGTCAGATGAAGGAGGCAACAGAAACACAATCGATGCAAAAACAGGATGACAGAGTTTTTACTAAAACTGATTGCAACCTGAAGGGGACGGATTTTGTTCAACCTTTGGTGGTTCCTGAAATACGCACTGGCATTAGTATCAGTAAGATACATGAAACAGAAATGCCCTCGCATTTGCAAGGCAGTCTTGAATTGAGGTCCGAAGATGACCAGAAGACCGCCAGTCTTACCAACATTCCCTCCAAAGAGCAGCAGCTCCAAGAGGAGGAGAGACTTTTACTGGCTAAGATTCAACAGATGTCAGGTGACTCCTCCATTGGTAGTGTACCTCGTACCCTGAAACGTCTCATTCCAACTCCTGGTGACATTGACAGCGATCCTACAGAGATTGGAAGCCACTTAAACTCCCACCCTGACCTTACCGATCACAGTCAGGTCTCAGTTGTTATCTGCTCTGATGCTTTGCAGGAAATAAGACTAAATGACACAGAAGAGTCACTTGGAGAAGACACAGTGTAAGTCCCCAGAGGCTAAAAAGACTGTTTTTTTCTTAAATCACCTCTACTATAAAGGCAAATTGCTTAGGCTTTCATCTTCTAATGTATTTGCTTGTAATATAGTAATTATAGCTTTTACGGCTGATATATGAGTTTGTAAAGCAAAACAATATACATTTTTAAAAAGGAATCAGCTCTGATCTGCATTTGTGTACACCCCATTGCAATAAGCTATCAAGTTTGGAAGTACTCAGAACAAAAAGATAAGTGAACTGCGAATATGTTGAAGCAAAGACATGAAGTGTCAAGATTTGGTTTAGGGTTGTTGACCCAAAGTAGAGGCAGGAAGGCAGAGGTGAATAGAAGGTTGATTCAGTGATGAATTACTGAAAAAACAAAGTCCAAACAAACAGGCAGCCAAAAATCCAAAAACGAAAACAAAGTTAAAAAAACAAAACAAAACAAGAAAACTCAAGTCAAACGTTACCAAAAAACCTTGGAGTCAACAGGGGAAGAACTGTAACCAGGAGGAAGGCTCAGAGAGACGAGTTGGAGGAAGACAGATGAGGTTAGACGAGGACCCAGCAAAGAGGAACTGAAGAGAGAGGGCTTTTAAAGGAGACAGAGACAAAGAGAGGGCTAATGAGAAGATTGGGAACAGGTGAGGAAAGAGCAGAAACAAAACAGGAGCTAGGGAGAAAGGAGAACACAAGAGGGCAGCAGAGGGTAACAAATGAAAAACCTGGAAGACTGGAAATAACTAGAAAACACAACAAAATAATAATTAAACCACTAAGACTATTAAACTTGGAGAAAAGAAAAACTAAACACTAAGAAGAAAATATAGCAGAACCAAGACTAGGACAGTAACTGAGAAAAAACCAAAGAACACAATAAATTAAGAATTAAAACCAAAAAAACTAGAAAACAAGGAGAAAAGCAAAACTGGATACATGAAGAAAAACATGACAGAAAACAGAAACCTAAAATGAAGAGGGTTAAATTGTGTTTTTGGTCTTGTGATGATGCTAATAGGTAAGAAACTGTCATCTAATCCTTATGTATTCCTATTTATATGTTCTAATAATCCTATTCTATTCAATTTAGTTTATTTATATATTCATAACACATGTCATCTCAAGGCACATTACAGAGGCTTGGCTATATCAGAAATTTCTAATTTCTTTCTGATACAACCATAGTGGTTATCTGTGTGGATATGTGAGTTTGGCTTTTCTTTGCTGACTGGAATTAGAATTTTCTTGACATTGTTGTGCACCTTTAACACTGTTAAATTTTGGCTGATGTTAGCTGACATCTAATCTTTCTTCACCAGCTTTGTTTTCATCAGCTTGTTCAGCTTCCTCACAATTGCATGACTGCATGTGTGTTGCCACCTTGAAGCAGATGGATGCTCCCGTTTTATCTTTGCAGAACTCTGCCCTGTGTGTTCATTGGCTGCTGTCTTTTGTCTCCTCATAGGACAAAACACAAGAAAGCAGACCTGACTGATGGTGGACCGGAAAAACAGTCATCTCAGCATACCATCATTTCCTCACATCAGTGTGAGATCAACAATTCTCGGCTTCCGACATTAACAGAAGAAGAACCCCCCGAGCTCAAGACTGCTGATCCAATGCCAGTGGTCACAGGGGAGGTAAATGGGAAGGAGGACACTGAGGTAAATGTCTCAGATGTACCCTCAAAGGAAACCTTAACAATCCATAGCTAAACGGTGATTGGTATTGTCATCTTGCTCTTTCCCCAGGACCTTGTAAACTCCAGCCAGTCGCTGCTCCAGTGGTGTCAGAGCATCACCAACAAGTACCAGGGTGTAAAGGTCACAAACTTCAGTACGTCCTGGAGAAATGGCCTGGCTTTCTGTGCCATACTGCATCATTTTCATCCAGACAAAATGTAAAACATCTCTAAACTATCTATATCCCATATAATTATTTTTAAAGCCCATCTCTTACCCTTATTTTTTCATGTTTCTTCTTCTACCTCATCAGAGACTTTGAACATTTGGATTCTCATGACATTAAGTTAAACAATAAGAAGGTAACAACGAGCTGCACAATGATGAATTTTATATTGAGCTTTTTTATATTGCCTGTTAAGTTTACTGTGTAATGTGAGAACAAATGCACAATGAAATAAATAATGCAACCGGCATTTACTTAATGATATTTAGTAACTTTAACACAATTGCTTCATGTGAGCAGGGTAGGACATCATAGGTACAGAAACTGAGAAAATTTAGGGACTGTTGAAAACTGGTCACAGTACCTTGCAAGTGAATTAACACACTTTTTAACTTATCCTTTTTCGACATTGTCAGATTTGTTGCTGTAAATTATTTTGAGAATTTTACTTTTTTTTCTTCCACTACTCCATGCACTACTTTGTGGAGGTCTATTAGATGCATTTGCAATAAAATAATTGCACATTTTTAATGTAATAAAATATGTAAGAAGGTCAAGCCTAAAATTTAGGATAGGTCGAAAGCAATTTAATTTTATTCCCTTCATCCGTTTTATCCTTTGGCTAAATGTAGGCATTCGACGGCTTTGAGGCGTTGGGGATTTCTCGTCTGTTGGAGCCATCTGACATGGTGCTCCTGTCCGTTCCTGACCGGCTCATCGTTATGACTTACCTCAGCCAAATCCGCTCACATTTCACCAACCAGGAGCTGAGCGTGCTGCAGATCGAGCACAACAGCAGTCAGTCGAGTTACGGGCTTGCTCCTTCTGGTCCCGCTCCCACCAATGTTGACGCTGCTGCCTTCTGCATGGCTAGGCTGAATGAAGGAGTGAGTCTGGAGGAAGGAGGGAGCAACACCCTGGTGGTGCCCCCACCTAGAACCAAACGGACTGTTAAAGGTGATTTCTTTTAAGTGGTCAAGAGTTCTTTTCCAAGAAGCAAAGCCTTGTGGACATGATTGAAAATATGACTGTTTTTTAATGGTAGAATTGCACATCTCACTGCTTCCTTATTGTTTTTGCTGTAGAAGAATCAAGAATCCCAGTCCCACCCCCAAGATCGATTAACAAAGCTGCCAAATCTGAACAGGTTACACTCCTTTTCATCAAATTAAAACTTATCATTCGGTCTCTGAAATAATTTCTTAAAATATAGCTGATTTTCTTTTAAGGTATGAGTCTTGAACTTTGACATTATGTTCTGCCTTTTGCAGGATGAAGGTGCAAAATCTACCTCTGAACAGGCCAATAACTCAGGTAGGTACCCGGACAGGTTCCTGTCTGGACTCAGAATAGTGGAAATGTTGATCTCTGACCGGATTCTTTTTCTTTAAAGGTCATATATTGTGTTTTTTAGACCTTGTGGAAGTCAACTATAGGCATATATATCCTGAAATATTCCCTTTGGCATTACGGAGTATTTATTTGTTATGAAATATTAGTGGTTTTCTTCCATGGGTGCCGCCCATTTCATCACATTTCCTTAGAGTCACTGTATAGGTATCAGACCTCTATGGGAAGGCTGAAAAAAATCTAATACCTCTTTCAGGTAAAATATATTTTGACAACTTACATAGTAGCTAACAAAAGAACAGTTACTGTCACTGTAAAGATTAGCTTCTAAAAGAGCAATTTAGACTCAACTTAGAGCAGAAATAATCTGCCTCAAATCACGGCTCCCTGATTGGAGGATTACTGACAGGGATGAATTAAGCAAAAATAACAGTGAATGGTTTTGATGAAGAAATAGCATTATAACAGAGTTAAAAGCTAAAAAGAAGGGTGAGGATTTTGCATGACATAGGCCCTTTAATGTCCCTCATCTGTCCCTCTCATTGCAGAGACTGCACCTGACACCCAGCCTCCTAAACAAGAGGAAACAATGGTCAGTTTTTTATGACTTACTTTTTCTTTTTCATCACAATAAGCCTTGTACAAAATCACATTAAAACTCTTCATAGCAGAACAAATTCCCTGTTTGTTATCTCCATTGTTTCTGACTTCCCTCTAATCTGTGACTGCCTTTTTCTTCTTTCCTTTTACTGTCTTCTGCTTCTTCTCCTTTCCTTGTGGCTGTCATGTTTATGTTTACCTGGATTTGTGTGTGAATGCATGTTGCTTGCATGCATTCGTGTGTGTGTGTGATGTGATTTGTGGTCAGTACCTGCAGGACACCAGTCAGTATGTCTTGAGCGAACTGGCAGCGCTGGAGACGGAGCAGAAGCATATCGACAGCAGAGCGGCCGTCGTGGAAAGACGGCTGAGAAGTCTCATGGAGACAGGTCTGTTCTTTACAGGGAAACATGAGGGTTGAGTGGAACAGAGGTGAATGGACTGATTTTAATTAGGTCCAGATCCTTTTAGATTTTGTTAATTTGGTGAAAGAACATGAAAAACCATAAATCATGGATTGTAAAATAAAGATAACTGAAATATCCTTAACCTCCTTAGGCTGACTAGTGGGACTGCATAAATTTGATTAGTGATCTGTAAACCAGGAAATAGCTCATGCCTACTGTTTAACAGCCCTTAGAACCTTCTGAAACTTAAGGGGGTCATATTTTTTATTTAAATAGCAGGAAACTTTAAAAACCGAAAACTGGAAATGCATCAATGTTTTTTATCTTTCAACACAATGATTTAAACAAATCAAACAAAAATGGTTGAAAGACATAAAAGGAATCTGACCGTAGTCCTATCAAAAACCTATGAAGACACCTCAAGAAATAGGGCAAGAACAAGGAGTCCTTTACAGATCATCTTTGAATCATTCAAATGCATTAAGAAGACTAACTAAGAATCACATTTTTTTTATCCCCAAGGAACCAATCAATTTCTTCTATCTGGCATATTAGGCATGATTAGGTTCTTTGTGCCATAATTCTATAGATGTCAAGGTTGTATGGATGTCTCGAGGACCCAAATGCAGAGATAAGGAGGTAGAGATGAGTTTTGCTGATTTAATATAGAAGTCCAAGGCAACAGAGGCAAAACATAAAAACACTAAAAACCAAAAATCCTTTTAACGTCAGGGTGTATACATATGGGGAGCAAAGAGACACCAAAAACAGCAAGAAATCAGCCATGAGGAACCGCAGAGGTGGTGTATATATGGGGAACAGAACAAAGGATGGGCAAATCAGCTGATATGGAGCAGGTGTGATTAGAGCTAACCAGAAGGGAGCCAAGGGGAAAGGAAACAGGGACAAGGGGGCAACAGAGAGTAACACAAGAAATAAAAAAACGACAGAAAACAACTACTTACAAAGAATCTACAAAGCAAAACAGAGGGAAGAACCCTGACAATAAGAACTTAACATAGTTGTCTTCCATTTACAGGGAGTGATCGTGATGAAGAGGAGCGCCTGATCCAGGAGTGGTTTACTTTGGTGAACAAGAAAAATGCTCTGATACGTCGACAGGATAACCTTGAACTATTGTAAGCATATAGGAGACACTCTTTCAGATTTTAAGCATCAGATCCATTTACCTTTCCCTTATTTATGACTCCTTTGCAGACAAGAGGAGCAGGACCTTGAGAGAAGATTTGAGCTTCTCACCAGAGAACTACGGGTCATGATGGCTATAGAAGGTCAGCACACAACTGATGTGTTAAAGTCAGAAATACTTGTTTGAAATGTAAATCTATAAGCTTGTAGGTTTCTATGATCTTTATTGCTAAATCTGTCCTTGTTACACATTTATCATGAATGATATTTACATTAATGGTTCCTGCATTCTCTGTGAAATTACAAGTAAAATTTGATCCATAGTTTTCAGCCTTTGCTTTTATCTTAGCAAAAAAGTAATTACAAAAGGAATAGTTTGCTATTGAAAAAAGTCAAACTAGTTGCGGCTTTACCAAAGTCCGATTTTTATCACAGATATTGAGTGAATAGATAATGTTCTTTTTGAAAAGTGCTTTAGCTGAGGGATTTGTTTAGGATTTCTGAGTGAAAACTTGCATTGTAGCTCAACCATCATTTTTTTTGCTTTTACCTTAGCAAAAAACAAAATACAAGGGGAATAGTTTACTATGGAAAAACAAACTACTAGCGACTTCACCAAATGTTACCAGAGGAAATTTTTACCCCTTTATGAAAATGGAATAATTCAGTTTGGGACTACCTTCTCTCTTTATGTCATAATTAACAAAAGCCTGTGTGCAACCATCTCAAACTACTCCTGGTTAACAGCTATGTTATAAATATGAAACCAAGATGGCTGCGCCTGTAGGCAGCGGCTTGCTACAGCTCCAGACAAATACACAAAATACGCCGCTTAGAACGCTACAAATTAGGCATCGATCCAATTCATGACACAGACTCTGCATCACACTGATAAAACCAAACCAAAATTTTTGCATATTTGCACCATATATATATATTAATGCTCTGAATTTCCAAAACAATGCATTTTTTGCACAATGTTTTTTCTCCCTCACTGTTTGCATTTGATCACTGCTGTACTTTAAGGAGTGAAAATGTTCATTTACTGTCTGAAAAGCTGTTTTAAAGGAATTTTTGTATACACTGTGTATACAAAATGGCAATAAAAGTTGTTTAATTCTAAATATGATTGTTTGTGAGCTTACTGGCAGGCCTGCAGAACATAGTGCATGCAGCCGTTCCTCCTTTCAGCAAGTTTCAACTCTTTGGGTGAACTCACCCTTTGATAATTATCTCATATAAAAATTATTTTATTTCCATAATGCCAGTTTTTTATATTAATCAAAATTATTCTCAAAAACTTGCAATCAGATATCTAAAATGGTATTGATAGATTAAAATGTGGTGTTCTGTTGATTGTTCTGCAGACTGGCAGAAGACAATAACTCAGCAACAGAGAGAGCAGCTGCTCCTCCAGGAACTGGTGTCTCTGGTCAACCAGCGAGACGAAATCATCCGAGACATCGATGACAAAGAGAAACGGTGGGTGAATGCAGTAGAAATGACGGTAAAGAAGTTTAATAGAGTTTTAGTTGGAACTAAATAAAAAGTCAGATTTTTATTACAGATATTGACTGAATAGATTATCATATTGTTTAAAGGTCTTTTACACACCTTCAGCAGGTGTCATTTTGAAAAGTGCTTTAGCTGAGGGATTTCTGAGTGAAAACGTGCGTTTTAGCTCAATCATCTTAGTAGTTTTTACTTTGAGTTACTAGGAAAAACATTCATGCTGAAGTAACAAGTGTTTTTGTGTTTGCAGTGCTCGGGAGGAGGACGAGCGTCTGGAGCGAGGGCTGGAGATGAGAAGGAGGAAATACAGCAACAAAGACAAATGTGTGTTACAATAAAAGCACAAACTGGATTTATAACCCAAAGTCTCAACAAAGAATCATCCTTAAATTAAAAAACAAGATACAAACTTTGAGGAGTTAAGGAGCCTTTTTTTCTCCTTAGAAATGTGCTGTAGGTCTGAAGCTGGAGAATGTGTGTTATCTGAAAGTCATGTCTGTGTTTTAGTAGTATTGTGTTAAATCCTTTCATTGGTTGTTTTATTTATTTAAATCGTGTGTCATTTTGTCATACGTTATTTGCACATACAGTTTTTCTTGTGCTGTGTATATCTGATGGGACATCATTAAGTATTCACACACCACCTGATCCTGTTTTTTTTTTTCTTTCTTTTTGTTTTGTTTTTGCCTATGCAGTATATTTAGCTTTTTCACCTCACTGGAAAGCTTTTATATTTAAACTAAAGTCGTACCATTTTTAATGAAGATATAAATGCTATAAATACATGAGGCTTTTATCTTTCCTAAGAGTTTCCAAAGAATGTAAAAAAAAAAAACTATTTAGAAATTGGTTTATCTAGTGAAAATTTGAGCTGGACTCAACCATATAAGGCTTTCAGTGAGGAAATTATATGTACTTTCTGTAATTCCTGATAACAGTCTACCGATGGTTAAAGTTTTAACACATATTAAAATGTGTTTTCAGATTGCTTTATAGTTTCATCTTGGAGGCGGGTGACTTGAGTCATCTACAGCCTCTTTGGAGTAGATGTTGCCTGTTTCTTTTGTAGCTGAAGTGAAAATGTTCGGGTATTTCTGCATAGCTTTCAAATACAGGTTTAGATGAAAAGGTACCCATCAATTTGCATGTAGGATTTCAAATGTTGCTCTCACTATTTCAGACTGTGTTGGCAAATAACAAATAAAATTGATAAAAGAAAATGTTTGCTATGTGTCAAGTCTTTCTGTTTTTGGGTGTACCGCCATGCTGCTTTTGACCTTCATGTGTTCCAAACTAAGTTAATGGAAACCATAATCTAAAACCAGAACATATTAACAAAGCTTGTGGTCTACCTGCAGTTTACATTATTATATGGAAGCTTGTGCCATCAGTGTAGTTTATACTATAAATCAAACTGCAATTTAGAAATCAGCAAGTCAAACATCAATTAAAGGAACACTCAGCTGTTACAACCCCTGTTAGATTCAATATAAAAGAAGTGAGTACCACTGCTGAGAAGCAACCCACCATACTAACCATAATATTCTCAGCATGCTATTTATAATTTGGCCTGGATGTAAATGGCCTGCTTCAGAGATCCAGAACAGATAGGATAACTGTCAACAGGATCATTATTATTATGTATTAATAAAATACAGAAACACAGGTGGGGAAAAAATAACTCAGAGCACATTTAGAAAACAAAGTGATGGCATTGGCATACTGTGGGGAAGTTTTTCCTCAGCAGAAACGGATGTTTTTCAAAGTAGGAGCGAAGATGATAGAAACACCTAGAAAGAATCTGTTAGAGGCTCCAACTAAGTGTTAGAGTTCTGGTTCTGTTATGTTTTTCTTTTGGATGTTCAGTTTTGCTTTGCTCCTTGTTTTTTACGGTCTAAGTCTTATTTTGTTGTCTTTTTTGTTTTTTTTCTCAGTTTACTGTCTCTGTCTTGGTTCTGTTATGTTTTCTTTTGAGTGTTCAGTTTTGCTTTACTCCTTGTTTTCTAGTTTTAAGGGTTTAATTTTTTTGTTGTTGTGTTCTCTTGTTAATTCTTACTTACTGTTTCAGTCTTGGCTCTGTTATGATTTTCTTTTGAGTATTCAGTCTTACTTTGCTCAATGTTTAATAGCCTTAGTGGTTTAACTCTTATTTTGTTGTGTTTTCTAGTTATTTTCAGTTTTCTAGGTTTTTTATTTGTTGCCCTCTGCTGCCCTCTTGTGTTCTCCTTTTCCCCTAGCTCTTTTCCTCTCCTGCTCTGTGCACACCTGCTCCCACTCTGCTCATTAGCCCTCTCTTTGTTTCAGTCTCTCTATAAATATTCTCTCTGTTCTGTTCTTCTTTGCTGGGTCCTGGTCAAACTTTCTCACACTCGTCTCTCTGGGCCTTCATCCTTGTGATAGCGATCCCCCTGATGTCTCCATGGTTTCTGGTTCGTCTTCACTTCTTCTTTGTCTTCGTTTTCTTGTTTTGATTTTTGGACTCCTGGTTTCCTGTTAGTTTGGACTTTGTTTTCACTTTTGGATTTTGGAATTCTGGTTTCCTGTTTGTTTTTAGACTTTTTTTTGGATTACCTGCCTCTGTTCTCAGTTAACTCATCAATAAATCCACAAGAAATTCACCTCTGCCTCCTTGCCTCTGCTTTTGGGTCAACTAACCATAACCAATCGTGACACTAAGACCTTCTATTGAAAGGTTCATGTTAATTAAAATAGATTGGTGTGAAAGAAAACGCTATAGTATGTCCAGGAATGAATCTTCTTGAAAGTGTATCTATGTCCTCACTATTTTATCACATACTACTATGCAGCACGCATGCAACTGTTGGAGCGCGTGTTTACATGGAGGAGCAGTTGTGCTGAAGATGGACTCAAATAAAGGTACGTTTTCAGGAGCATGAAACAGGAAATGAAGTAGGGAGGAGAAATGTTGCTGCGATGAAAGGCAACTTCTCCAAGTGGCTAAAAGACGGCAGGTAAATAAAGTTTAGTAGCTTTAACTTCCGTGTGAAGGCTGGTAAAGTTAGTTCAAACTGCTACAAGTAACACAGCAGGTTAGTCTTGCAACTGTGTGGGATTATTTACAGTATAACAGATAATCTAAAAAAAATGAATTCGTGTTTATATTATTCTACAGACAATTATTCAATTAACTAGATGGTAAATCATTAAATAGGTCAATTTAGGACTGATGGATAAATTACAGATATATATAGGGTTATACATACAGGGAATTACATAATTAATATTATGAATTTAACCTCGTAATATTACGAATTTCCAATGTTACGTCTTTATTCACGTAATATGACTTTATTTACATAATGCTTTAACTCCATTTATCGTCAGTACTAATACTCCCGTTCTGTTTATTTAAAAACGTGCGTTAGAGGAGATCTCTTCAGGTCTTCCCTGGTGGTCTAGTGGTTAGGATTCGGCGCTCTCACCGCCGCGGCCCGGGTTCGATTCCCGGTCAGGGAACGTTTATTTTTAATTTGTTATGGATCATTTCATTCTTTTATCAAAGAAGAATCAAAGACATTAATATTTTTTACTTCACTTTTCTAGCTGTACCTCTTGAGCTCCAGCAAATCAGCTTGTCTTTGCAGGCAAATCATCACCACAGCGGGATTTACTAATTCAAACTGACATAAAGGATCAAGCTTAGCAGTGCAGCATGTAGAGCCTGTGCTGCTTTATTCACCAGTTTCCAGTAGAACCACTTATAGACCTCCTGTTCTGTAATGCAGGAGCCATTGCATGGCTGCATTAGGCAGGAGCAATACAAAAGCTATTTGGTGAGTGTGACAGGTTGCCTTCTGCTGGTTCTTCTCTACATTGGGAGCTTATACATTTGGTGCAGCACCTTACCAAGGTACACTACCACTCATCTGAAGCCAGGTAGTCCGTCATTCAAGAAGCTCATAATGGTTGTATTTGTGTCTTTAAAGGGACCATCCAAGGGTGATAAAGCGTCGCTGTGCCAGTGTTATTCTGGTGTCTGCAGTATCTCCTGCGTTTGTGAAGCTATGGATGTACTGGGCTGATATCACAGTGAGTAGGCCTACACAAGGAGCAAAGCTTTTCCTCTGCCATTTAAAGTTCTTTCTTTTTCAAGGTCTTCCAAATGAAGATTTCCTCCCTGATTCTCTTCTCGTGCGCTCGGCATAATCATTTGAGCTGTAGCAAAAGTCCTTAAACCGCCTGTGGTGCTACTTTAATATATTTATTGCCCACTGCAGTAGAGGTGGTAAATATCTTATTTAATCAGATATTACTTGGATTCTCATATATTGTTTATGAACACACACCCTACCGGCTGTGTTAGAACAACAAGTGAAAGTGTGAATCAAACTCAAATCATTGTCAAATAGAAAATTCTGCACATATAGGCAATACTGTAAATACACCACAATTTACATTCAAAATATAGGTGAGTTTATGAACCAAAATAATTCAGCTCCAAGACAAACATATTTCAGTTAAAAACACTTGACTAAATACCAGTGAAACACAACTTAACTAAACTATGCAGAAACAGGGAGAGAAAACATGGTTGAAAACAATTTCACAGCTTAGCTTGGATTTTGTATTTGACAACCAAAGTATATCTTTAAGAATTTGGGATGTCATCAAATGTTTTCAAACCAATTTACACACACCAAGGAAAAAGACTTCCATAGGAGGCTTTGACCTGCAGTCCAGGTCTGTAACTTCTGAAAATCAGAGAAAAATACTGCAAATGGTCTGTTTTGCAGCAAGTTGGTCCTTAAATGTCAACCATCACGACTTAGCCATCGTCATGCTGGAGATCTGGGCCTTGGCTCCATGATGTTGTCCCTCTTCCAATGTAAACCCCTGGACAGCTTTACCGAAAGATAAAGAAATCCTGTGTGCTGTGGTATTTTACTTTGATTCCGTTTGTCATACTCTGCGGGGGGGCCATGGTACACCTCTGAGGGAGGTGTCCTGTGGAAGTAGGGGGAAGGTTTGCAGAAACTTTGATAGGGCAGCAGCACTGTGGATCAGAACTGACACTTCTAGTTCAGTGAACATGTTAGAATGAAAGATGGAGATCGGTCCTCAATGTCAAAAATTATTATCCTGCTTTATGGCCCAACACCCTTGACACTCATTGATGCAAATATGCAAGGAAGCTTTGTACATGCACAGCCATGAGGATTCCCTCAGGCCCAGTTATTATGCATTCAGTATGGACCTAGGAACCTTAGGCAAGTTTTGTTTCTGTTACAACTGACCCCTAACTGTGTATGTTTTCCATTGACCATTATAAATGTAACAAATTTGTAATATGCCTACATTTCTATTTATTCTTTAAAAAATCTGGTGCAAATAAATAGCAACCTTAAAATATTAAATATCTGTAAATATGTGTGTATTTTATGTTTTCATATCATATAAACTGTGTCAATGTAATATCCACACTGAAATTTTTTTTTAATATGGCTTTTTAATCTAAAATATATATAATTTACTCTAGTTCAAGTAAATCTATGTGCTAAATATTTGACTTGTATTTGCAATTGTAAAAGTCAAATAAAAAGAAAAAAAA